TCAGGAGCTTATTTGAAGTGATATTTGCATCCTCTCCTTCCCACCTCAGGCGTGCAGAGGTGCAGCCTCTCCTGCTGGGCAGCACCTGGCTGCTATAGGGGGATGACATCAGGCAGCACTGGCTGGGTTGAGTCCTGTTGGAGACACATCCCCTCTGCTGCTGGTCCCCCAGCCCTTTTCTTCTCTTCTCAGCTATGAATGTCCCCTGCAGCAGCTCAGATATCTGTGCAAAGTGGGCAAGAGTGAGCTGCAATTACTGCCCAAGAGAAACCATTAAGAGAAGGTGCTCTTGGAGGTGTAGGGAGCGATCACAACGCTGGGTTGAGAGAGCAAAACACTTGAAAGGTGATTAAATACTCCTGCTCACCCTCTGTAAGAACATAAAGTTCTAGGATGGCTGGAGTGTGTGCTGATTGTGTTTACCAGCCCTGGGTGCATTTTCTTCCTGTGAATTTGTCCCACCTATGTTTTTAGCAGTCAGGGTCTCCAGGCAAAAGGCCTTGCACACCCAAACAGTGCTATGGTGCCAAAAGCCACCCTCTTTGTTCATTCTAGTTACACTTAATGAAAGCACAGCCTGTTCCCCAAGGACACCATTGTTAGCGAGCATTCACAGAGCAGTGCTGACAGTGATGTACCAAGCCCATGCAGCTCCTTGCAAGGAAACTGGGAGCCATTGAGGGGTCTCCACTAATTCATTAAATTTCTTAATCTCCAAGAGATATTTGTCAACTAGAAAAGTTATTGATATGACCTGTGACTGTTGTAGTGGAGGACAGAGTAAGAGATTTGGAGAGGTGCTCTCTAAACATTACAACTGCCTGAATTGAGGCACTTCAAAGAACATTAAACAACCCCTGGCTGTGAATCAGGGTGGTCACCGTCCTACTTTGATGTACTCCTTATTCAGCATGTGAATGTTTTCAGTAAAGCAAGTCTCATACCAGATAGGTTAGAGGAAAACTTTGCCTCAAGAAACAGTGAAAGATCCCTGATTTTCTCCAGGAAAGCTGGAGTTTCTGGCTTTGAAATGCTCTGTAGCTAACAAGTGTGTGACTTTATCATATACATAAATCTGTACATGACTGACAGCAAGAGCAACCCGCTTCTCATGTCTTGAATTCCTCATGGATAAATTACTGCAGACCACAAGATCACAGAAACAACTGACTTGACATAAAGTATCATCCAGGAAGATCTGAGGGGGCAGAGATGCCTTGCCTAATGCACACCTCCATGCAGAAGCATTTGTGAGAAGGCACATGGCAGGAGCAAAGAAAGTGATACTAAACTCCTGCAGCCAATGACTCCTACCAAGGTAAGAAGTCATTGGTTCATAAGGTCATGAGGTTCTGTCAGCTCAGAAGCTGATACACATATTGCCAGAGGTTTTCTGTGGAAGCCAGCAGAGGGCCTAGTGCCACCTGTGACTTTTTTATCTTGGGTTTGGTGGGGAGAAGAGGAAGTCAGGCTGTATTGGCCAAAGTGCTCAACTAATACTGTGTGTGAAGGAACTAAAAACGAATAACAAGTTGTCAATGAGTCTTGTTATAATTTCTTTTCTTTCTTTCAGAAGAGAAAGAAGGACAAATTTTCCTCTTAGATTTTCTAGTTCATTGGGCAAAAGGGAAATGATGATTTATTTTAGCAGCTGTTGTTCTTGCATGTGCTCCTGGACCTAAGTGCACAGATAGATCTGCACTGCCAGGAAGGAAGGCTGGTAGATCTGACAAGGCAGATTGAACTGTTGGTGTGAGCCCAGAGAATTTTCTTTCATTTCTGTTGTTATGTTTGTGATTTCTGTAGGACTGGGGAAAAAAAATAGGACATATTCAAGGATACTGGAGACAGTTTTTGCCAAGAGGATTTCTTGAACAATCTAAGTGCTTGAGGATCTTTTCTCTGATAATTCTGGATCCCTAGGGTATCTCCTCATGTTCAATTTGAGTTGGGGGATTTTCTTTCCTTTATGCATGCTTCTTCCTAAACCCTGTCTAACAGCTAACTAGTGAGGACTGCTGTCCCTAGACACCAGCTCAGGCTCTGTTAGCTTTTGTAAGAGCATTTGTATCAAAATATTGTTGTGCTGGAGTCTCCACGGCCATCTGGGGCTTTGTGCAGACAGGGTGCTTACAAATGAATGTGAACCAAAGCAAGTCAACATTGCTTGGCATGAATGAAATGTATTGCTAGGATCTGTCTCTGCCAAGCTAGAGACGGTTTGGCTCCAGTCCCACTCTTCAGGGGGATTGTCTGTCAAAACACAAGTTGGTATTATACAGCATCATGATTGCAGGGCTCACTAGTCCTTTAACCCCTCTCAGGCCTTACTCTTATTTGTTGAGTGGAAACCTGTAAATTCCAATTCTTAAGGCAGACTTCGTGCTCTGGTACCTTGCACCAACTGTCGCTCATGCCACTCTGTCAGCTCAGATAGAGCTTTCTCTTAAGGGGCTGTTAAATAAAAGATTTGTTAAATAAATTTAAATACATTTTATTTGTTAAATAAAAGCAGCCCTTTTGAAAGGAAGGTGTTATTTCTTAATGCCTTAACATGTGTAAGAAGTCATATATTTTGTACCATCTCATGGTGGAAGCCTGGCTTCTTGGTCTAACCACCTAAAAAACCTGGTCATACTTTCAAGGTGAGAGTCCATCTCAGACACTTTACTGGCTCTCCTCTATTATCCCATTCCTTCATGGGCAGCAACTCCTGCTGCTGCTGAGCCCTGCTGGTAAGCCCAGAGGCCACACATTAGAGGACAAGCCAAGACATCAATGACCTTGTGGTTCTGCCAAGAGGTGCATAATAATATTTCCCTCCCATTTCTGGACATGTTTCTGAGTTCATTCAACATAAGTAGGGACACAATAAATTACCACAGTGGCTTGGCCAAGACTTGAGCCACCAGGTGGCTCCAAGCCCACAACATAAAGTTTTTGCTAGAGTGAAGATCCACAGTGAGCACTAGTAGAAGTGCTGTCTCTGAACACAAGTTCTGCAGCAGAAGAAGGATGTGCACATTCACCTCAGGAGGCGGATGAAGCGGCAGACCCTTGGCTGAGACCCCGTGGAGTGTGGAGAAGGCTGAGAAGAGCGGTGACTCCGTGGGTGTGACACGCAGCACGTGCCACCCTGAGGCCAGCAGCTGCCCGCAGCGCTGCCCAGGCTGTCACGTCGCGCACAGCCTGGCGTGCAGCTGCAGCTTGTCCCTGTCCCCGCGGGCAGGGCAGGGCAGGGCAGGGCAGGGGCAGCCTTGCACAGGCTGGGACGCTCTCCGAGCAGGGACCGACTGCCCGGGTCACGCAGCCTCACGGCTTTCCCAGCACGGCAGGATTTGTGTGTTCTCCTTCAATGTCCAGAGCATGCCAGCACCAATGTCTGCTCTGGGGACCAGCACCTTTTATCATCCCAGGGGACCACGGTCCAGGTTTCCCTCTCATGGGCAGGAAGCTTTACAGATGGCCCCAGCCTCAGCTGTCTCTGACACAAGGTGTGGCACAGCTGCTTGACCCCAGGTTGGTTTTTGCTGAGAAAACTGCTGCTGCGCTGTGAGAAAATAAATTAACTACAGCCAAGCAAGATAAGAAAAGTCAAAACATAGAATTAAAGTTGTCAAGATGATGATAGCTAGCAATGCAAGGCTTCCAAAGTAAATGTTATGTGAAGAGGGATAAAGCCCTGAATGTCTTAGGTCCCTGTTGCTTTAAAGATCCCTGAGCTGGAGCTTAGAAATGCTCCAAGTTCTTGCCTCAGGTTTAACTGATGTGAGGGTATCTTCCAAGTGCTGGACTCTAATATGGGAATGGAAAAAGGGGCACGTGAAAAAAAAAAAAGGGGGAAAAAAAGTGGCTGAGCATATGACAGAGAGGGAGATGTCCATGAAGAGTGCATTTAGTCCATTGATAGAGAGGAAGCATGAGGAATTTTACTGAGAAGATGAACAAAAGCACAGGCAGCTGGAGGGCCTGTGCAGTTCTGCTTGGCTGCACTCCTACTCTGTTCTCTTCCACCTTCCTGGAATGACTACCTCCTACAGAAAGTCCCAGCACCCCTTCCCTGACAGGGCAGCTTCTTTCTTGAGCTGGAAGCCCTGTGGGAGGAGGGCATGGACAGAACATCTCCAGCCATGTCCTGGGACAGTGACCTGCAGGCAGCAGCTTTGGCTCATGGGCACCTGCACCCAGTACAACATTGTGCAAAAGGCAAGCCAGGACATGAGGGGGGTTTGCAAGGGGCTAAATAAGTGCTTGGGGCAAACGGGGCTGAAAGCCATCTTGCTGAGCTTGCACCAGCCCAGTATTTGGTAAGAGGTAACTGGAGGTGCAATGGGGAGCTTTGAAAGGAGCAAGGAGAAGTTCAGATGCCCACACTGTGGTGGTGGCCAGCTATTGCAGCCTTCCCCAGGTGGAAACATCTGCAAAGGGCATTTCCCACAGTTAGACAATGTTATCAATGCTATGAAATTCTTTTGTTTGGAAAAAGAAAGAAAGTAAAGCATGTAAAGTGCAGTTATGGTGTACAACAGGTGCTGGCATTGTATTAGAGGTATAGTTAGGTTTCTGTGAAGGAGAAGCACCTGGTGGTGACCTGTAACTAAAATGTGAACACTTTCTCATTTTAAATATGAAATTAGGCACCATCCAGCACTGAATATCTAAATAATATCAACAGCCAGAAAATAAATGTATTACTTGTTATCTAGTTGAAGCTAGAATTTTTTGCTGGTGCATCAGGAGCTGGATTAGTCCCAGGGCAGCACAGAGGGAACCGAGAGGACAGGGACATTTGCAGGGACTCGCATCCAGGTAGAGAGAGGAGAGCCCGCTCAGCTGGAGCTCAGCGGTACCGCCATGCCACCGAAATGCTGCACACCAACCCACACACACTGCACTTCCCAGCTGGGGAGATGCTTTGCCTTAACCTCACTCTGAGTTCTATCAGAAACCACTGCCGGAGAGATGCGAATAAAGCTGGCGTTCGCGCTGCTGGAGATGTGAGGCTGTGTTTCAAAGGCTGCCGCCCCTCTCTACGAGCCCCGGCGCGGAGCTGGGCTGGGCTGGGCGGTGAGCGGGCTCCGCTCCGTGCCGGTGGCAGCGCGGTGGGGGCACCGGGCACCGCGGCCCCTCCTGGCCGGGGCCCGCGGGCACCGTGCCCGCTCTGCCTCGGGAGCGGCTGCGGAGCGTCCTCAGAGGCTCCAGCTGCTTTTATGCTGGGTGTTCCCCATCGGCGCGAAGCATTTTTTCCTGCAGCTGGCAAGGACCAAGCTCTTCCCTCAGCTCGAGGTTAATCATCTGCTTGCAATTAACCTGTGACCTCCCCCGCCCGCGGCGCTGCAGCTTTAACGCGGGCGGGGGAGCGGCGGGGGGACAGCAGCGCCGGCTCCGGCCCCGCCGCGCATCCCGAGCCTGCCATGGACACCCGCAGCCTCCTGGCCGCCCTCCTGGCCGCTGCCCTCGCCGCCCTCCTGCCGCTTCCCGCCGCCTCCTCGGCCCACCGCAAGCTCCTGGTGTTCCTGCTCGACGGCTTTCGCTTCGACTACATTGATGACAGCGAGCTGGAGGGTCTGCCGGGCTTTCGGGACATTGTCAACATGGGGGTGAAGGTGGATTACATGACCCCAGACTTCCCCAGCCTCTCTTACCCAAATTACTACACACTGATGACAGGTGAGTACTTGTATTTCTGTGCTGTGATGCTCCTCAGGGCTGCCAGCTCCCCATGCCAAGGTGGAAGGAGCTCCCTGTGACTATTTTTTTCCAAAGAAGATATAAAAATAACCCAAGTCGTGCTTTTAGCTGGGAGTTTAAAAGCACTGTGGCATTACAGCCCAGAATTGTTCTCTGAAGTGTGTTCCAAATTTGGAAATGCTACCTGGAGCTAATTTTTAAAGTTCTCTTTTGCTCACCCAAGCTGTAGCTGGGTCCCTACCTGCTGCCACCTCAGCATCACGGCCAGCTTGCCTGGTGCAAGCACCAAGGGGGCTACTGCATACGTATAGAATAGAGAAACAACTGGGACTGCATGGGAAATGAATACAGAGACTGCTCAGGGGCTTTAATAAAAATGCATGTGAACGGAGCGTGGCTACACTAAGAACAGTCAGCAGGTCTCTTTTGGCAAGTTCAGCATTAAATTTCTTTTTAAACTTCGTAGGTTTTTTGTTTTCTTAACTTTGCTACAAGTCCTCATATCTGTAATAATTCAAAATAGCCAAATAGAAAAACAGGATTTTTGCTTTTCATCCCCTGCAGTTTTTCAGAATGTCCAGGGGAGGCTTTCTGAAAATTGAGAGGACAGTCATAGTTTTCATTATGCTGATTTGCTTTTAGTCTTACGTGGAAGACACATAAGATTATGTGGAGGATTATAGTGACACCAGGAAGGTGCAGAGAGTAGAGCTGGGCCCAATTCCTTCAGAGTCAGACACCAAAGAAGCAAATGCTAAATAATAATAATAATAATTAAAAAAAAAAAACAACAACAAAAAAAACCAACAACCACACTAGGAAGGTGCAGAGAGTAGAGCTGGGCCCAATTCCTTCAGAGTCAGACACCGAAGAAGCAAATGCTAAATAAAAAAAAAAATTAAAAAAAAAAACAGGTTTGGTTTTGTTGGTTTGGTTTTTGTTGTTGTTTTGTTGCTTGTTTTGTTGGTTTTTTTCCTGGAGTTTGTACTTGGATTTTTCTCTGGAGTTAATAAATAAGCAGGCGTTTCCAACCAATGAGAAGGTGTAAGAAAATCTATCCTCTCCTAAGATATGTGGCATCTTCTGCTATTCTTGGAACAATGCAGTGCCCAGTGATTCATATACTGCTTGCTGGGAAAGCAAATAGCTGCCATTGTAAAACAAAAATCTGACATCAGCTGTGCCCAGTTTGTTTTGAAACTGCTTAACCCCTTCTTCCCTCTTTCTCTCTGAAGAGAAACAGTTTTCTCTTGCTCATCTCTGATCAGAGAAGAGTATAAAACCATCACAGGGTTGGTTTTGATTCTTTTTCCTTATTTGCTGCAAATATATGAATGCAGAATAAATGTCGTGACAGAAAACAGAGGTGCTCCACTCCAGGCCATGCTCTTCAGGTGTACAGAGGCAAACCGACCCAACACTTCATAGGTGCAAAAAAAAAATTGGATGGAGCTGTTAAAGAAAGAATAAAAGTGAGTAACATTTCACTCCTAACCACACTTAGTCATCATTCCTATTAAGTGTATATACATAAAGTGAAGTCTATTATCAGCCTTTTGAAGAGTTTTGAAAACCTCCTACTTTGTACTCACAAAGAAGTTTTGTTGTAAGACATGAAACACCACTACTGGACTTTGCATATTTTTTAGAAGAGTCCTGCACCTCAGTCTGAAGCAATAAGGGAATCTGTGAGATGAAACTCAATATTCTTGCAAGTCTCCCAGACTTTACAATAGGAATATCAATGCAAATACAATTTAATTGCAAATAGCAATTCACCTCCCTAACACATGAGTCACAGTAGTATTAAGTAGGTCAGGAACCAATTGAGGACTAAGTTTAGGTGATGAACATTGCCCAGAGGAAGATCTAAGTCTGCCCTTGAGCCCTTGGGGTGTGAGTAGTGAGCTAACCCCATGACTGTGTCTTGGCATGACAGCAGGGTCAATCCCATAGCTGCACTGTTCTTACCCTTTGGGGCCATGGTGCCATTTCCACTGAGATTTTATGGGATGGTGGGGTTAGGAGTGCAGAGCATGTGGCAGATGTAGTGTTAAGCTGTGTTCAGTCTGCATCCATTAAATTTGCCAAGCTGGGACAGGTTTTGGAGAAAATTCAGCATGGCAGGGTGACACAAGCATCATGCCATAGTGACCTGCTTAGGGAGTGGCAAGTTACTGTTTCCCTGGTGCTGCTGTAGGGGCATGAGGAAGCTTTCATCACATCTCACCAGCCATGCAGCCTCTCTGCTGCAGGCAGACACAACTGCAACTGCTTTTATTTCTGTTTGTGACTGGGATGTCTGGGAGTTAAATGCTGCCATAATTTCTTCTGAGAAATCTGGAACAAATTAGTCTTCATGTCTTGTCCTACACTGCTGTTTCAGGAGATGCTAAGGAAGTCACATTTTAACTTCCAAAACATTGTCTTTGTGGTATATTGGAGTCCTTCAAATCAGTTTAAGAAATTGCACATTCCCACCCCTGGCTTGTTCATGATATCCCACTTTGGGGTTTTTTTTGTTTGTTTTGGGGTTTTTTTGGTTTTTTTTTGTTTTTTTTGGGGGGGTTTGTTTGGGTTTTTTTTGTTTGGTTGGTTTTTTTTGTTTTGGTTATGGGTTTTTTTGTTGTTGTTGTTTATTTTAATAAATAATCTTGTCCCTTCTTTCTCTACTCATTCACAAGGCATTCATTATGGCTCCACATCTATTCAGGAGCATTCATGGCTGCCAGGTCTTGGACAACATGTGCATAGAAGTGTTGTAGTTTGTGACTTGCCTCTGTTCATTCTTGTGAGCAAGGCCTTCCCCTTCACCCCACATCCATGCAACCTTCATGGTTGACTCCAGAGTAGTTGAGTTGTTACTAAATGAGAGATGTTCTCCTTCATTTCTGTGGCTTTGGAGGAGGACAGGACTCTGCCCCTCAGATGCCATCACCGTTGGGACAGGTCAGTCTCCTCAGACATGAGCTCACCTCCTCCTCCTCCTGCCCAGACCTGCAGGCAGAGGTTGTGGAGATCAGCAGCATCAACTCCAGTGCTTCCCAGCACAGATGCCAAGTAGATGCAATCGTAATGTTGACCAAAAGCCACTTATCTAAAAGCAACTAACTCACCTATGCTAATGAGAACCACACCCCTTTCTGCTGAGACGAGGTGTTGGATGAAGCACTGACGCAGCAGGACAAACAGGGTCCAGCCTGGTGACATTTTGGAAGGAAAGCATGGGAGGGAGGTGACTTGCTTGTGGTCATGCAGTGCTGCAGGGCTATGGCAGAGCTCTTCATGGGTCCCCCTCCTGCTGCTGTTAACCTGTGGGAAGATACTTGCTGGAGCTTCCCCAAGCCACACAGAAAGCCTCAGCCCAAAGCCCAGAGCCTGCTTAGAGGTCTTTTCCTTTCCTCTCCCAACTATGATAAAGAAAACCAGAGCATAGAAAAATGTAAAATGACAAAGTCATTCAGAGTTTGGGATGAAGCTCCAGTCTTCCTGCACCCAAGGCATAGCATCAGAACTGCTACTTGCTTGAAGAAGCATCAAAGATCCAAATCACGGCTAGTGCAAAGGGTTGCTTCTCACTGACAAGCAACCAGAGAAGCTGTTTTTTTGCAAAAACCTGGTGCTGTGCAAGGTAGCTCAAGGATTGCTAGCTTAAAACCCAACTCTTTGAAAAGCAGTCTTCTCTAGCAACTTCCAGTATGCCGTGTTTCTTAGTATTGGCTTTTACTGTGGCAGAAAGACTCATTTTTAGGTGGTTGGGTTGCTCTCTGAGCTGCTGGACTGAATCCTACCTGGTGTGCTGGCTCTCCATGGTGCAGTTACAATATTGCAATTGTTGACCTGAAAAACATGAAATGGAGAATTAGGTAAAAGGAGATGTTGCAGCTGTGACAGAGCTTTTGCAGGACTCGTTGTGGGCTTGGCAAGGGAGGTAAGAAGGAGTCCAAATTCGTCTGTTCTAAAAGGCTCCCTCAATCATACTATGCGCTGTTTGTTTTGGAAAGGAAGGAATTAAGACCACAAACCATCTTGGGTTGTTATCCTGTGGGGAGTTTTTAATTTTTCCCTTTCCCTGCTGTGGCCTGGCTCTGCAGGGAGCTCTCATGCCAAGTTCAGTGGAAAGTCTGAGGTCTCCCCTGTAAGCACTGCAAGCAGGAGTTACTGCTTCAGAGCACTTCATGCCACATCTGTCAAGAAAAGCTGCTCATGCTCTGGCTGGGTCTCCCTTACCTGACAGCCTGCAGGTGTTGGAGGGGTGATGAAGGACTCCCTGCAGCACAGCTCTCCTGAAGTCTCCCCCAGCTGAGAGCACTCAGTGGCACCTCACATTTCCAGCCAGCATAAACATGAACAGAGAGTATCACATCTGAGATAGAAATCCAGAAAGGATTTCTTTTCCAAGATCATAACTAGAAATTAAGTCTTTCTGGCAGGTCTTCCATGTGGATGTGCCAGCTGCCTGGTCAGCTGTGTAGCCCCACAACCAAGAGTCATGTTTCACTTGGCCTCCATGGAAAGCAAAGGGAGCCCCTGATTGCAGAAAAGGGTGGGGAGCTGCTTGGAGAGGAGCCAGCAAGGAGCCTCCATGTGCCTCTTCGGACAGGACCTGATCTTCAATAAGTGGCAGAGGGGCTGTGAGGTCCCCTGAAGCTTGAGGGGTGGAGGAAAAGGTAGACCAGAGGACATTTCAGTCTCCTGCACCCAGAGTGAGGGCTGTGGCCTTTGCAGGTGTGCCCAGACTCGCTGTAACACAGTGATGACACATTTGGGTGTTGTCTAAAATACAGGGGTGGTGTGTGGTGTTTTCTCAGCCACTGCAGCTCACCCCTACATTTGCCATGACCTCTTCCTCTGCATAGCAGTAGGGAATGGGGTGACATGGCAGAGCTCCCACGGAGAGGTGACATCAAGGTCCACTCTGCCAGACTGAAGATTTCACCCGTCTTCCATGTTTCAGCAATCTTCCCTTCACTCCTCAG